TTTCTGGGATCAAAGGAAGGAAAACACACTGTTTTACTTTCTAGGCAGTGTGTTTTCCTTCCTTTCTTAATTCTTCCCCACTTCCTTCATTCCAGATATGTGTTTGCAAATAATTTTGAATATTTGCAAATTTTCCAGTTCGCTTGAAATTTTGAAAAGAAAAAAATCAAATCCTATTTTGCAAATCTCCTATGAATTTCCAGGGTTCTGCTTGGCAGGTCTCACGGTCTCGGCTGCATGTAGATCGAATCGGGTTTTCACTACTGCCAGGAATATTTGAATTGTGAAGTTCTAACCAAGTAACTGACTTAAGTGCCACCTTGATAACGTGAGTCGTATAAGATAATGTAAGGTTACTTCTAAGGAAATCTCTTGATGAGTGAGGTGCTTTAACAAGCAGGATTTAAAGTCCACCACACAAATGTGACTAGACGGGCAGAAGAGGAGAAAGAAGATGCACCATCTCTAATCGCTAAGTTTGTACCGAAAGTAAATTCGGAAAGTACAACGGGCTTTCTGATCAGGTTAACTTGGAAAACGTCATAGGGGTTTTGAAATTGCTGCTTGCAATTGGTTCTTGTGAAAGACTGCGCTTTTCCCCGCACTGCTGGTTCTGACCGCCTTTCTATAGGTCCTGGTTGTTAATTCTTGTCGTAAGATCGAAAGCGGCTCTAACTTCTTCCCTTCCTTTTTCGAGCCTTCTTGAAATTCAATTTCGTAACAACAGTTCGCAACATTTTAGTAATTTCTTTAATGGAATGTGTATATGTGTATGCACGCGTTCGCTATAATCCTTCACTTTGTTCGGCCTTCCCGAATCATTTTGGACGTCTACCGTACCTGGGCGCTATGTCTTACTGTAGTACCTCTTTGTCGATGTAGCGAACGAACGAGCGAGAGAGAGAGGTGGAGCGAATGCGAATGAAACGCTGATGAGGAAAGCTTTTGTTTGACCAAACGCGCGTAACATTGTCGGTTCCCCGGGGGACGTGAGGTTGCATTGCGATAGGGTAGAGACTGTGGGCGGTGTGTGTGTGTGCGTTCGGCAAGGGTTAGAGAGTAGGGAAAAGAGCGCGGCGCGGTGCGGTGTATCATCCCCACGTATAGGTTTGAACAGTACACATCACCGCTTGGTCGGTTTATGTAGCATGAAACGGGCAACGACGACGGCGAGAGCCGAGGTCTGATAGCCCACCGAATCGACGAGCCTGAGCTAACACACTTCTGACTCTTCGCTAGCCATTTTACACACTATGCAAACATCATTCATGGATACTCATCCCGATAGAGATAGTGTCGACCGAAGACATCATCGCAGTCGACCTTCGCTATCACCCACCAACCTTCTCGCTTTCAAGGTTCGGGAAAGTTCGTTTTTATTTTGTAACAAATGAATTTTCAGCAATGGATCTCTTACCTAATGAAGATCCTTAGGTAAAGTTCTACTCAACAGGTAACTTTCTCTGCAAACCCTTTCGAGGCTCGATTCCAAACAATCTAGCGACAGCAACGCTGCTGGATATGTGAGCTCTTGAACTTTTGGGAGGTCCATTCCAGTTTGGGGAAGGAACATCATGATGCAGTTTTCCAGAAAGCTAGGGTAATTCCGAGCCAGGTGAGTGTGGCCAATCTACGCGGGTGAGGGGGGGGGGGGGGGGTTAAGGGCAGTCACTTGACATACGTGTGAAAAGCTGGAGTGTTCGAGTCACAGTAGTTAGCCTGCGTCATGATGGCCCCTGACTGAAATAGACTCCTTTGGGGCTTTCCATATTGAAATATGATGACGTCATCGTTGACGAATTGCGGTAAGAATCCATGAATAGGTGAGTACTGTGGCTATCTTTCTGGATTCAAGGAATCAAAGACTTGGAGTTAATCGAATTTGGAACACGCCACGCTTCTAGCAAACGTTCACAATTGCAGAGACAATTGTTGGCTAGCAGTGCAAACGAAGGGTAATGGTTTGTATAAACGCTACTCGAGATAGTTTTTTTTTTCAGACGATCCTATGCTGTAAAAGACCTGGGTAGGTCAGCACTATTTTCATAAGGGAAGGTTGATGGGTCGAAGTGGCCACTGATGCGCCTTTGGATGTTGATTTCAAGCCCTAGTCTACTTTTGGCGATGTGATTAACGCAAAAGGGTAAAGAAAGATTCTAAGGAAATATGCATGGCTACCTGCTCTGTGGCCGCAAGAACCCACCGTACCATATTTCATGACGTGATCGTTGTTGGATAGCGTTGTTAGATATGTTAATGCAACTCCATATGTTTAGCAGCGCCATGGGAAGATCCTGATGAAATGTGTACAGTACTAGTAAAGAGTTGAGAGTTGTAAGAGGATAGTTTGAGTATTATTATTTCTAAGTGATCTCGAAAGACAGATTAGACGACGTGACAATCGTCAGGTTGATTACAGATGTAGGCATGGAGCGATTAGGCTTGACACGGTTGATGATCCTTGAAACTATTATCAATCTAATCTATCTTAACTTTTTTTTTTTTGCAAAATCCAGCCGTCATGTCTGCGAAGCCTACGGCGATAAAAAAAATGAAAATGTCACTTTCTATCAAAAACTAGTAATTTTCTGAATAAAATAACAATTTTGTAACCCAACTTTTACCGGCGTAGAGGCTGATGAGATCGACAGCGCTGCCTTTAACTGTAGTTTCCCTGTTCAATATCGCAGAGGCTCCTTGGACGCGATTCGTAGCTCAAAATCATTCAGGTAAGTCAATGTGCTCAGGTTGGGGTTTTCCCCTTGCTCTCGGAAAAATCGCATCCAATTTGATGGAGGGTGGTTCAGAGCGCTTCTATCCACTGACTCATCTTTGGCTGGAATGTGAATTGTATCAAAAACTTCATGTATTATATCCTATTTTGCTAACAAACCCTCTCAAGGCCTCTTAGCCCTTCTTGAATTTGCAAGCGACGGGAATTAACCAGGCAGATTAATGTTGGTCATGAGCTAAAACTAGAAAATTCTTAATTTGCAAGAAGCTTAAGCGGATTGCTGATCGCATAGTAATTAGTCTGAAAGCCTAATCGTTTAAGTTTTTACTTGTGTAAATTGAAAAGTAAATACGACAACAAAGCTTAGCAGAGGATCGTAACGGTTCACTTTACTTCCAGCTGTTCTTCCCTCGACTTTTTCCGAATGTAGCTTCTCCTGTCAGACCGTGCCATTCTCCAAGCAACAGAGTTGCATACTGGAAGCAAGCACTTGAGCAGGTAATTGACGGCAATAAAGATGCGTATATTAAAAAGCCATTGTTCTAGCTCACAGCACTCGTCTCCAGAGAGCCGATTAGCACTAAACGGAACATAATTGAGGTTTAATTTGGGCTGTCATGCGCTTTGGAGGTCTCCACACACCCCACAAACTTTAAAATTATGCCAAGGATCGACCTTCTTCTGCTCTTAAAAGCAGCAGTCACAATGGCTGGGGGCGGTGCGGTTTTGATGACGTCATTGAACGGCACTGAAAGAGGAGGCCGTCCTCACCACGCCCCCAACGGTCTGAAGGGTCTAGTCCACCAATGATGCTCAATGACATCTTCAAAAAAGCTCCGCCCTCCAGACATCAAGATCACTGCATCTGAGGTGGAGGACCTTGGGTGGAGTTGCCTATTAGGATTGGCTCGAATAAAACAAAAAACTACCTAATTTCTTGAAGGCTCGGTAAGGTGTCTATTCGGGGATCCAGATCCTTCCATTTCCAAGATAAAGTAATGAAAGACAACTAACTTGAGCAAAATAGGTATGACTATAAAGAGAATACTGAACTGTAAGTTTTTGTCTTCATAGGTTTGACGAGAAGTAAATAAAAGGGTGAAGTCTGTGGGATGATTCACTTTTACTGTTGAATAGACTTGAACAGAATGGCTGACTCTTTCTGCCTTTGCCTTCTGCACTTCACCAGAAGTACCTTACTCAGCTGACTCTTCTACCCACATCTTTGGCTCATAACTGGAGAAAGGAAGACATCGCAAGTTGGGCTAAAGCTGAACTACCTTCTTAACTGAATTTCCAGAGCATCTCATAGTTTGTAAATTTGGCAAATTACACCTGCTCTGGAATTTTCCATGCTATATCACTTTTTAACTATTTTCATGTTTACGAGATGCTCCTCCATCCGTGTTATCATCAACTTCGTAGCAAATCACTCATGTATTCTTGTAATTTCTTATAGTAATCTGGAGATTATGTGGATCGCACAGGCGACGTGCTAATCCATCACCCATCGCTTTCAATCTGATGAATTCCCACTTAAACGAGTTCTTCTTGAAGTCGTAACAATGCTGCCACCCTCTACTGACCATCACAGCTGCCCCTGAAAAATTTAAATAGCTTCTTAGGATACTTTGGCAGGTTAAGTGGAAAATAAGGTGGACGGGTGAGCTCTTATGAACTAAGAACCCTGTCTTTAGTGCCTTGGAACCAAAATATTTCTTTTCCCAAAAATTTGTCCCTCAAATTTGTTTCTCATAGTGTGGTACACGACTTGAGGCTCACTGGAATTTATGCTACCAGATGACATATCCGTGCGGTTTGTACCGGAATGGTGTCGTTAGAGTCGTGTGAAGCGCGCAAGCAGACGCGAGCGGTCGCGTAGCGCATGCAATAAAATGTTTGAGACCAATTGGGGTAGCTGAGTATCTAATCAAAGTATCTAGTCAAACATTATTGTCAGTGTACTCATCTGATAAGCGGAATTCTTAGGCTCTCCCTCCTGCTTTCCCCCCCCCTTCTCTTCCATTCACTTCCACATTCTACTGAATGAGCATTTTTGTGAATTACTTTATTCCATTCTCTTCGGTGAAAGAATTCGCGTTGTAGGCTCGATCTTGCTTACTTGAAGATTTTTCGATGTTTTAATATTCTCACGTCGTTCATTTGAATAATCTACCATTTCCACGTGATTCTACTCAGGACCAATCTATTATGTTCCAGATTTATGGTACAATACACGAATCAGTAACATAACAATACTCAAAAGATGAGTGCTGCCGCCACCGAAGGACCGCCTGAGGCGAAAAAGTTTCGAATTGATTTGCCGACACAGGTGTGTTTGATTTATCGATCTATGGGATCAGCTGTTTAGCTCAGTGCTTTGTCCTTTTGAGTCCAACACAGGGTTGACATGGTCAGGAAATAGTGAGTGATTTGGAACAGACGGTGATCTGTGGTGATCTGTGGCCCATTTGTACAACAAAAAAGGAAAAAGCCTAGTCAATCAAAACCCTGTGAAAAATGACCCACTTTCAGGAGTTTTAAGCTTTATCAGGTGTTCAAAATGGTGGGATGCATTGCAAATCGCTGCTTTATCCATCTATGCAGGAAATCTCATTGAGTTAATCAATAAATGAATCTATGGTCCCTATGGATGGACCACTAGAAAATTTATGTGACTAAAGTGAGCTTAAAAAATGTCGCGAAGTCGTCCGAGGCTTGCATGATTTCTAGAAGATTCTCGGAAGCACGGATAGTACAACAGACATTTTCAGGCGCACTTTATGCAGTAAGACGATTTTCTAGATCGGATTTTGCATAATGTTAATCAGGTCTTCCGGTTCTGATAAAATATCAGCATGCGCATTTCGTGCAGCTGATGCGGAAGTTAGCTTCAATCCAATCAGTCTCGTAGTCCAGCAAGCATCGGTGGACTGACTGGGAAATTAGTGCGCAGTCCATTGTAGTACAGTTCATTTTTCACGGTTTCATTGAAACCGAAGGATGAACGTGACCAACTGACAGTTCGAGTTTTCGATTGTCCATGTGTGGGCGCTTGAATGACGACTAAACAGCGTGTTAGATAGGTGGAATGAATGGCTTTTGCATGTGATGATACATGGGAAAATCACGTCCGCGTGCGACTTGCCGAGTGTGTCGACGTGAAAAAAACGTTCAGGTAGAGAGAGGCAGTTTGTGGTGGGAAAAAACCACCACCACTACCAACTATCATGGCGCGCGCTCGGCGCTCGACGCTTCCGATGATACATCATCATGAAGTACACTGAAAAATGGGGATGACAGCAGGGGTGGGCAGCTCGAGTAGTGCTTTTCTCAAGCAGGTGAAACACTGGCTGATCGATTACCTCACGATCAGATGGGCACTCATCTAGCCACTAGTAGATGTAGTTCGAGAGCCAGGCCACCTGCAACTACTAAGTAGTTATCAAGTGGTGCAAAAAAGCGTAACAAGTATGCGAGCGGTCGCGACGCGTCTGGGATTGGTGTGTAAAAGCTTTCATATTTCTTACGTCTGTGGCGTAAAAAATTTCTCACGGAGCTCTGCTTCCAAGACAAAAGCTATTCCATTCAACTTAATGACAGCTTCAAGACTTTGGCAGCCTTGCCTGGGCCGACTTTCCCTTGTTCTGTGTTTTGAGCTGCTGCAGCTGAATAATTCAAATAGAGAAGTTCTGTTTTTATAATAATGGTCTGCAAGCTTAGGGGTAGGGTTTACAATAACGCTACTACTCTTGCTGAGTTCCTATGAGGGCATTATGATACCTAAAAAGCTTCATTGAAGTGGACTAGGATTCATAATATCTCACTCCGTTTATTCAGGTTGTTGTTGAGCCATCGTTGTGCTCGTCAGAATCACCCGATGGACCGGCTGCAGCCGATGGACAATCACCGGCCGGACCCAGCTCGGCTCGTTCCACCAATGGATCTGAGGTACCCTGCATTCCATTATTACAGGCGGCTTGCGCTCATATTTATTCAAAGAAATCCCTGGTCACTGAAATAAGTTAAATAAACTATTACAGATATCGTCCGGGTCATCGGTGGAAAAAGACGATGAACCTGAACCAGGAATGACCGGTAACATACTGGAAATGATCAGCAAAAGCCTTCTTGGAAATGCATTTAAGGTCAGTTTATGTTCGATGAGATCATTCCCAAAACTTTATTGTGATAAGTGGTTCTGCGACGGGGTAAATTCTGCCCAGATCATCTAACGGTGAGACTTTATTGATACCTGGTGAATCTGGGAGGATAAAAGCTTTAAATTTAGTGTGGACTCGGCTTCACGTCGTCGTGCAGGCAATTATGGCTTAGAATCAGTCCACGTTTTCAAATGAAAGCAAAGAGCGTGGCGCACGCCTCATCCGATTATGGGAAATGGTTGCCGAATTGAATCAGTTCTTTTGGAGTGCGCCATGCGTTCGAATTTCATTCTCGAAATCCAGTGACATTCAGAAGTGCATCAAACATGTACTTTGATTTCCAACTAAGGCCAGTGTGAACGTTTTTACTCCTCGCCGAAGACTGTGTCCAATTATTTGTCACCGGAGGAGAGGGAAGCTTGCCTAGCCTGGGTAGGATTTAATCAGCTGATCGTGTGTGTTCGGATGGAACACACTGCCACTATACTGCTTCCACCCAGTGGATCGAATCTTCACAGAAATTAATCGCAACTACTCGCAACTCACTTTTTATGCACTTAAAATAGTAATGCGTTCCAAACGAGGATCTCCATACAGAGCTATCTTTACCTTTCTACGCCTCCAAAACAAAGATCGGCTATGAATCACAGATCACCCTGCAGAGTTTTAAAAAATTTTCCGTCGTATGTTCACAAATAATTTCCGATCAGCGCTAAGTAAGGATTTCAATGTACATTCTGACCTCTGACGCCATAGCTGGCGCGCCCAACATCCAAATGCTTGAACGCTTCGAGAGTGCGTAAATCCCTGCGAGAATGTTCAACATACTAAAGTTTGGTGTCACTACTGTCTAATCCTTCCCTCAATTTGTTCATGCAAATAAGTACGGGACAGATTTGGAAACTGTAGAAAAATCGCCTAAGAAAGGAAATAATTTTCGTCCATAGCCTAACTTCAAGTTGCACTGACCTGTGGATGTTACTCTGAAGACAGAAATTTTTAGCGCATGTAAGCGTCGAGCGTCCGATAGCTTTCCTTGAAGCGCTATTCTTTCAGTAGTAGGTTATTGGATACGCAGTCGCCCACTTGATATCCACTCGCTGGACCTGTATTCCCTATATTACTGCCCGCCCTCCGCTACTCAAACCGCCTGGCAACGGAAGTGTTATGGCCTTCATAAATACACTCTCCACACAGCGACGTTAACTATGCAAACCATCCAAATTGTCGTGTCGCGTCTAACATTAACTTTTATCTCCCATCTGCCTCGCCATATTCGAATCTCCCCTCATTTGCCTTTGTTTCTTATACTGCTTGGAAAAGGTCGCAAAATTCTGAAGTGATGCACCTTGATATAGCGCTGATCCAGCCGAATACAAGAATATTCTGAGATTCGGTTCAGTTTCCTTGAAATCATAATCGGAATCTTGTGTACAATAGCGGTGTGCGGGGTTGGAGCACCCTCGATAATCGACTGATAGAACGTGTTCGTTATACTAAGAACTCGCACCATCTGCAACCATTTACTGCCGCTCTGCTTCCTTGGAAAGTTTTTGTCCACGCCAACTCCACCCCCCTAAAACCCATTTCATGAAAGCATTCTTTCTCTGATAGACGTTCTCCAATTCAACTTCGACGCCATTTCATATAGCAGCAATCCCGGACTATTTTCTGGTTCTCATTCGGCTATGACCCTGATTGCAGACGACGCTCGGCTCATCATGTTGATTTCATCGCCATGAGCTTTTTCCTACCTTCATGTATTTATGACAATACTGGTTATTAAGTGTGATTGTTAAGTTCGTGGAATTGTGTCGCGCGATGATGTTGACTCAGCTGCCGCAACACGTCAACGACGAACTGATGACAGTCGATCGGGAAATTATTGAGGGCAATCAGGGAAACCTCTTACCGTGAATATCATGATAGGAACCAGTATTCGCAATAGCAGTACAATGTAGAGTCAAATATTTCAAATGGCTCAGCACTGGTCGTTTTTCTTAGGTTCCGCCACGCATTCAAATCTCATTTTATATCGTGGGAGTATTTCAAGGGTATCGAACCCATGCGCATTTTCAGGAGGGCCAACAGGCAGCCTGAAGAGATGCAGTGCTGTAGACAGGATCTTATCGGATGCTTCGTGAAGAGTGGAGCAGCAGCCCTCCACCACACCACCTCCGTACTGAGTAACCTGCGCAAATTGCAAAAAAGCAAATAGTTAACCATAATAAGGAGTTGAGCTCGTCCGTCCCTCCCCCTCACTTTTCCAAGATATGTACCAAATGAAATACTCTTCAACCGAAAGGAGCCCAAATGCTTATCATTCCGGACCGGAAATGCTCCGCGTCCCAATCCAAGTTTTTCGGCCTCACGTAGAGGGCTAAATCGATATCTTGACTACTCGAAAACGCTGGACGAAATGATTCATAAAAAGACAGGAATAGTGGATGAAAAGTTAAGGTGATCCTGAGGCGCCCTGTTATTTTAGGGCAACCAGTTGGGTTAACTCTGGCCGTGGCTAGCTGGAGTTGTACAAGAGGATAAATGCGTCGGTGTTAATTTTACTAACTTTTCAAAAGAAAAAAATTGACGGGGCCATCCTAATTTCCACTTCATCCTTGTAGTTGCACTGAATCTTGGCCGAGATCCTCTCTATTGGGTGAGGGCACGTGTTCACCCTTGAGCCACAGCGCCCTGATGCAAATTTGTGTCACGAAGTATGTACACAGAGAGAAAGGAAGAACTTGCAGTCTATACCTTTCCGTAGCAAGCGTTTTATGGCCCTGAGCCAGTCGTGGAGTGTGCCTTCAAGGGCCAGAATTCCTCTGAAATCTGAGCGGAAGTCGAGCTCATCAGTCGAGCCTGAGGAGGGGTTATTCCAAGGTATCGTGGTAATCAACTCAGCAAAAAAGAGAACAAAGAGACAAGCGAAAAAACGGCCCTGTCGAAAAACTTCAGTTGAGCTCGAGACTCGAGTATCTCACGAAAAGCTAAGATTGCAAGTTTTCTTGGATGTTTGCAGTGTGAAAATATCACAACGAAGCCGAGTTGGAGGCAAAACATTTCGCCTCAGGCTTGAAACTAACCTGCATCTGTAAAGGCTGTAATTCAGTATTTGTAATCCTTCCTTAA